TAGAGCCTATGCTCCGCAACAAGAGAAGCCACCGCAATGAGAAGCCCTCACACCATAACGAAGAGTAGCCCCCCTTGCTGCAACTAGAGAAAGCCCATGCACAGCAACAGAAGACCCAACGCAGCCAATAAATAAATTAATTAATTAATTAATTAAAAATCTATTTTTAAAAAAGAATAAAAATTTAAAAAAAAAGAATAACTGCATTTAGCTGAATAGAACATAAAGGTAACAGTTTAAAATATCAAATTCTTGGGCTTCCCTGGTGGCGCAGTGGTTGAGAGTCCGCCTGCCAATGCAGGGGACGCGGGTTCGTGCCCCGGTCCGGGAAGATCCCACATGCCGCGGAGCGGCTGGGCCCGTGAGCCATGGCAGCTGAGCCTGCGTGTCCGGAACCTGGGCTCCGCAACGGGAGCGGCCACAACAGTGAGAGGCCTGCGTGCCACATAAAAAAAAAAAAAAAAAAAATCAAATTCTTAATTTCAAGATTGTTCTTGATTTTGAATTCCCATTTTCTAGCAAGAAATATTTAAATAGTTCTCAATCTAAGATATAAAGAACGAAGAAATGTATCAACTGCAATTATCTGAAACAGAGCTGAACAGTAGAAGAAAAACAAGAACAAAATTACAAAATAACAAAAACCAAACCACTGGAAGCCCAGGTTTGGCAGGCAGATTCTTAACCACTGTGCCACCAGGGAAGTCCCAGGAGGATTTTCATCTTGTACTTGAATCAAAACAACAAATCTCAACAGATGGAACCCTGAAGAGGATGTGAGAATCTAGGTGTATTTCATTAAGCCAGACAGGAAAGAGATTTGCCCAAATGTAAAACAAGTTCATTCTTCTACTCAATTCTTTTCCTTTGGGATAATGTTATTTTCATTAAAAATCTGTTTTATATGTAAACATACAAGGGCTTGTTATTAAGTTAATTAAAGCATGTTTTTTAATTTTCTATTTTAATTCTTAACACAGTAAATATGGATAGATAAGCCTCCCCTTAAACAAAAGCTCTTTGAGGTCTTCTATAATTTTAGGAGTATTAAGGGATCCTGAAACCAAAATGTGTGAAAACCATTGCTCTTGGATCACTCCCTATCTGTCTGCCTTTCATACCGCCACCATCTTTCCAACCTTCCAAATGATCATGCCACTCCCCACCCACAGCTTACCTTAGTGTGCTGAATGAGGCCTTTGGTGATCTATATCCTGCCTAAATTTCCATTCCTTTCTCTTTCCACTCCCTTTTGGGCAGGTTGGTCTCCACCCATAATGAACTGCTTATAGTTTCTCCCAAACAATCCATGTTCTCTGTTATTTCTGGGTCCATATACATGCTGCCTCCCTGCCTATCAAGTAGGTCTCTACTGATATGTCTTCCTACCAACCTTCCCCCAACTACCACCACAACAACTAGTTGGTCAAATCCCAACCTGTCTACAAAACCCACCCCAATATCACTTCTTCAGGAAAACTTGCCTGAACCATACCTCTCTGGGCAGAATAAATTGCTCCCTTTTATGGACCTCAGACAATAAGCAGTTACATATAACTGTATTATAATTATTAGTATAGAAATCTGTCTCTCTCAATGGACTGTCAGTTCCTTAAGGGCAGGGACTGTGGGTACCTAGTCCAAGCACAGTGTTGATACATAGTAGTCCCTCAATTAATATTTCCTAAATAAATGATCCTAAGGTTCCTTCCAGGCTTGACATTCTGTCGTCCACCCCTACAATAGGATATTTTGAACCACAGTCTTTCTTGATTAACAGAAGGATGTATTTATTTTACTCACACACATTAACACACAAAAACACTTTAGTTTTTAATCAAAGAGATCATCTCCTCAGTCTTTTACCTTTTTTGTCCTTGCAAGGACAGTTCTGCAGAAAATTTGGTATGTTAAATTTGATGTGTTTTAATAAATTATAATGCACATATATTCATTAATAATATATATTCCACACCAAGGCATCAGTAGGAATTAATTTTGTAAAGTCTGGCCCTAATAGGAATATAAAATTATGTAAGAGCTCTGTATAATAAGCTCACAAAGAACAAGAAAGAAGAGGAAAAAAATTAAAATAGAACTGCCAAAGAACTATGAGAGGTTTCTAAACAGCAACGCTGTAGATGAAGCCCCGAGAAACTCTTGTTCACTATAATCTTTAATGTCTCAGCCTATCCAAATATTGAACAAACCCTAGTTCCCCTTGCAGACAAAAATCTGAGAGTCTAGAACTGGCCTGTCTTCTCAGGATTTAGAGACAGCAGCATGGGAATTTCAAAGAGACTTCTTTACTTCCTTTTGACCAAGACTCAAATTTTTTATTCTAGCCCTTGATAAGTGAACAAGAAGGTAAAGGATTATTTATTTTTAAATAAATTTTCATGATTTGTGATGGTTCCTTGTTCCATGTCATCCCAGAGAAATCAAAGTCATCTGTAAAGATTACTGAAAGATTTCTACATGTTTAAACTAATTTATTTTAAAACTTAGGAACCAGGAGACTCCAATTAAATAAGTATAATTATTTCTTTATGGCAAAGTGTTGCCTCATACATGATAAGGTACTTCGATGACACTGAGGTTGAGGAAGGTTAAATGACAAACAGTAACAGACTCAATAATAATCTAGATCTCTGATACCAATTGCTGCATGGTTTTCATTCCATTGTCAGTAAAGAAACCAAAATCAGTGCAAGTAAATGCTCAAATACAAAAGTAACCTTTCTTCTCCCTTAAGAAAGCAACCACGTTCCACAGAAATTTTTAAAGAAAGTTTTCTCATGCTGTGTCATTTTCATTTAGCACTGGGGAAGAACCTTATCCATTTAATTCATGACAGGTGATGAGACACAGGCGGATTACACATCCCTGGGTATTTAAGGTTTGCAGCTAAGCACAAACTCTTTCCACACTGAAAAGTATAAAAGCTGTGATTATTCCACAGCAGCCTAGAGTTTGGAGTGACTATGTCGCCATTGAAATGACATAAAATGGCTGAAACCATTCATTCTACTTTGTGCTGTCTACTATGAATTTAGAAGGCACAAAATAGATGATTGATTGATTTTTAAGTAAAACAGAATAACTGTTCCCAAACCTTCTGATTTATATACCAGTTGATGGAGCATAAAAAAAGAGCCTTGTCCCACCACAAATCAGAAGTTCATTTTCAGAACTAGTAGCAAAAATTGCACAATTTTTTGACAAGTCTGATAATTTATAACTTATCTAGAATATACCTTCATAATAGCAGGAAATATAATAACAATGTCATATTATGAGTATGTATTCTATGAAAACACACAGGTATTAAAATATGTTTTGTTACTGGAACAGACCAGGGAACCAGTAACTCAGATATACACTCAAAAAACATATAATAACCTATATCATTTTTCTTATGTTACTATAAGATCTAGAGTTTCTGCTTCTCTGGAAGGTCAGTATATCCATGCAACCAACTGCTAAGAATTAGAAGGCCATTTAGGGATAAACTACCATGGAGACTAGAATAAGGGCAGAGACAGGTGCGTGGTTGCAGAGAGGGAAAATGTCACAGATGACTTGGATGATTATTTTGATGCCAAGGTTGTAGATCATTCTACAGGATGACTAGTGTACTCATTGTATTTTTGTTATTTTTTCTATTTTCTATCTTGATTTTTATAATGAGATTCTTGGCACAGTGTAAAATAATATAACTGTTAACTTATGTTTCAAAATTTATGTAGCTGATTTCCTGTATTTTTGACAGCTCTGTCACATTTCCAGCAAATAGAATTTTTTCCCTTCCCTGGGAAATAGAACATGTCCACTCCACGTGTCTGCCTTATCTCCATTCCTCTCCCAGCCAGGTGGTAGGCATGAATGAATGTACCCCTGTACTCTGCAATTCCCAGCCCATTCCTGAACCTCCACAGTCAGTTGTAGTTCCAGCAAGTTAAGACCTTATTTAAAGAAGAGCGGCTTGAATTGTGAGGATGCTTGAAACCACAACAGAGGAAATGGCTGGAGGAACTGAAGATAATTAGATTACGATAGTTGACACTAGTACAGTGCTTGCTAATTCCAGAAAATAGTCTAAACATTTAATGTAAATTAATTCATTTATTCCTTACAATAACCTGGGAGGCCAGTTTTCATGTTATCCCCATTTTATAGATGAAGACTGAAGCACCGAGAGGTTACATTTTTAAAGTCATGCAGCTCATCAGTGGCAGAGCCAGGGTTTAGAACAGAAGAAGTCTAGCTCCATAGTCCATACTTTTACCACACTACACCAAATGGAAGATTCAGGAAGAAGATGAAAATTGTCTTGGAATACTTAAAGAGCAGCAGACTGGGAAAGGAAGTAAATATATTCTGCATTGCTTCAGAAGATACCTCAGAAGGATCCAAGGTGAAAAGCTAAACAGAAACAGTTTTGACTTCTCTGTCCCTGCTGACAGTCAGACCTTGTCTGGAGAACCAGTGGTCAATGATGCTGATAACCAGAACACTGGCTGGGTTAGGCAAAAATTCTTTTCCTATCCTGAGATTTTATGAGTCAGGGATATACCACTGCATTGTCACCAGGATTTCTTTCTTTGGAAAGTTAGTAGGATGTGATAAAAGGAGGAGGGAGAGAAATAATGGGTCCTTGAGTAATTTTATTGACAAGCATTCTTAGCATTACTCTTTACCAAACATATACTATACTTTGGTGCAAAGGTATCAGAACAGACTTTTGAAGGACATATAAAGTTGGTGTATTGAAAATTAGATTGAATGATGCTTCTAAGTTAAAATTTGTAGTGCAGCATGAAAAGCACTACTTAAAGTTTATACTTAAAAAATTACTAGAAGAAACATTAAATGACATCTTGGTTGATTTTCTTAATCCCTCTCGTTCATTTGGTTTCCTATCTCTCATGCATTTTTTAAAAATTGTAGGCTATTCTTATGCAAGAAGCTAAACGTAATTAAATGTGCAGGATGAAAAGATGGCACAGGCACTTCCGGTACCCCCAGGACCTGAAAGCTTCCGCCTTTTTACTAGAGAATCTCTTGCTGCTATCGAAAAACGTGCTGCAGAAGAGAAAGCCAAGAAACCCAAGAGAGAACAAAACAACGATGATGAGAACAAACCAAAGCCAAACAGTGACTTGGAAGCTGGAAAGAACCTTCCATTTATTTACGGAGACATCCCTCCAGGGATGGTGTCAGAGCCACTGGAGGACCTGGACCCATACTACATCAATAAGAAAGTGAGTGTTGATTTTATCCTTCCAATAAGTCTTTAATTTAACTCAACTTTAATATACTTTGCTGGGGCTCATATATATACCACACCATAATTTTTCTACTGTTAAAGGTTTTATACTTTTTATTTCCACTTATTTTTAAGCACAATATAATAAGCAGAAACATTTATAAGAAATGAAGTCAAGATCTGGCCACAGTGAAGAGATATAAAGAGATGAACAATTGGTACAATTTCATAGTAATTGATACTGTCAAAATTAAAACTGACATAACAAAGCAAAATATCTGTTATTGCCGACATATTTAAGCACACAGTAGACAACAGAACAGTAGCTATGTGAAAGAAGAGTTATGGGGTACATATATCTATTTTTTAGTTCTTATTTGGCTTGAGGTTTCTTCACAATAGATTTGTGTTCTAGAGGGCAATAAATAATCTTTTACTTAGCATCCTCCTATAGGAAGATATACATTGAGAAGCATGTTCACCCAAGGATACATGTTTTTGGTCCACTAACCTGGAATATGATTGGGAGCTTCTCTTAACCTTAATTTGTCACAGGCTAGATTCTGTAACACTTACATATTGTTAAAAAATCACTCCAAGAAAAACCTGTCAAGAACAGAAGGCAAAAAAAAAAAAAACAAAAAACCTCAAGTTTTTCCATCCATATATGATTTAAATCAACAGCTATGACTGTGCCTTCCTAATACTATAATAATCACATAATTCTGTCAGAATTAGCTGGTTTTTGATGTTAAACCAGCTGTACAGTATTTTATAGGAAATATAAAAAACGGATGATAGATTCTATGCTTTCTAATTGGGTATTTTGACATCTTACAAGCACAATTTATATTTCACGTTCACAAGCATAAAAACAGGCCCATGTAGAAACTAACGATAAATTAATATCACCATGAGTCGCTTACAGATTAAAGGAGATATTGAGCACTTTTACTAGCCAAAGCCAGCCCTTTTAAAAGGAATGGCGAAAGAAATTGCATTCTTTAAGCAGCATACAATTTATAAGATCAATGATGGTTAAAGGAACTGACAACCATTCAGACATGGAACTAGCCCTATTGCTCTAAAGGAGTGCTTCTCAAACTTCCATGTACATACACATCACCAGAGGATCTTGTTAAAATACAGATTCTGATTCCATCGATCTGGGGTGGGGTCACGGGTCCTGCGTTTCTAACAAGCCCTCGAGTGAGACTCATGCTGCTAGTACACGGGCCACGCTTCGAGTAGCGAGCTTTAAAATGCTTTATTTAAAGTTACAGAACAAAGTTAAATAAACAGGTCCTTTCTTCTTCCTTTTAAACTAGCTTCATGAAAGGTGGCAGATAATAAATATTCATATAGTTCTAAAAATAATTTATTCCAGTACTTTACTATAGAATTGATAAAGAAAATTTTGAAATTTAGTTACTGTATTATTACACATGATGATGGCTAGTAAGGCATTCCCCAAGAAACTAGAAGAAAATTCTCCTCTGAAAATTATTGATTCAAACTATATATTTGCAAAGATACCTTCAAGAGACAGGGGCATGACTGATACTCTGGCATGATTAAAAGTATTTGCTGCTTAAAGAAAGGAAGTGTCCTTAAGAAAGGGAACTGGTAAAATTAAGGGGGAAAAAGGAGAATAATAGAGACAAACATTAGCATTTTCCTAGGGAGACAGATCTTTAGTAGTAGCCCTGAAAGCATATACCTCCCAGAAAGTCACTTCATTGTAAAGGGGCTGCACTGTACTACCTAATCAAGATGTCATCAAACATATGTATTATTTAACTAAGTTATTTGGACTCCACCCTCAGCAAAGAATATCTTATTATTTGTCTTCCCATAGATCTGCTTAAAGAAAAGAATGTGCTGGTTGTGCTATGGCAATTATTTCAGCCCATGTGACAGTGATATATCTGGCTGTATATAAGTAGATTGGCATTCTGATTTTATATCAGGCTTTAAAGCTTGGTTAATGTGAGTCTGCTGCTCAGAAACAGAATTGTTCTCTGTGTGCTAACAAAGTCAGTTTTTATTGCCTTCCTGTCTGACAGCAAGACTTGAACCCTGATTTATTCATAATGGCCATGACCCATCTTGAGAGACATCTAGACTGTTTACTGTTGTCTGCACAGCTTTCCTTTATGAAGTGTACATAAAGATAAAGATTGAGGTGCTATTGAAGAAAAAGGTAGTTTGTGGTTCTTAGGATAGAAGGAGCTAATGTAGGAAGCTAACGGAGAAGTTCTGGAATTTAAAATACGGTATAGAGCTTGTTAATTATATGAAATAATGCAGGTGAAAGGCATTTTAAAATTGTAAAGCATTATGTAACTTTGCTTCCATCAATTAATGATACAGTTTATATACCTAATTTAATCATATGAGCAACATCACAGTGTATTTTAATGGCATTCAAATTGAACAGATAAAACTTAAGAATAGTGACAGTAATAATAATAGCTAACATTTGTTATGCTCATACTTTGTCAGGTACTGTTTGAGTGCTTTAACTGGTATAACTTATTTAATATTCAAAGAACCAGTGAGGCAGGTACTATGTTAACCTCATTTTATAGATGGGAAGGTGAAGCCCAGAGAGGCATTCTATAGAAGTCACATTCTATAAGTGGTGGATTAGGATTCGAACCCAGGCAGTCAGGCTCCAGAGCCAGAGCTCTTAACCACTAAGCAAACCTACATATGGTGTTTATTAATATAAGAAAAGAAAATTTTTTAAAAAAAACTGGTTTTATAATTTTGAATTCTCTGATGTATGTGGTTCTACTCAGAGAACTTATTCTTGCCTCAAGTAGTAAAAATTTTAGTGAACCTGTAAAATGTGCATTTACCTGGAAAAAAGAAGCAGGCAGCATTCCAGAGTAGACAATAACCAGTTTAACATACTTCCGGATATAACATTCATCACCTTATTAGCAATAAGTAATACTATTTTTTTAAGTCACATCAATACTTATCATTTCTTAGAGGACTGATTTTGGAATTGACACTATTTATCTCTCTTCTATTTATGTGTCATTCTGTCAAATAATTTTCAGTTTAGATATATCTCTCAATAACATAAGAGCCCCAAATTTCAAATGCCTTTCTTGAAATTTTTTCACCATACAGGACATTAACATTTTATTCTTAATTTCTCAGAACTCGGAGTTTTCTTTGTGTTAGGGGCTGTTCTCCAGAAATAAACTGGTATGGTGTTCTTAAGGTCTGCTTTTTCCAGAATCAGTAAATTCACCAAAGATGCCTTTGGCATGTCGTTTTTAATCCCATTAGTACTACAAAGGCCAATCTTGTGGGAAGAGAAGAGGATTCCATGTTTTAAGGGATAGTTCATTCCTGTTCACTCTATTTTTGGAGAGTTTTTCAAAATAAAATCCTCTCAATGTTACAAGTGGTTTTTTCAGGGATATTGTTTCAAAAAAGCATGAGTAAATGCACCTTAAACTATGGTAAACTTTATATGTTACTGCTGTCATTGAATGTTTAAATGGATCTAGATTGTTTGGCTATAATATTACATGATTTAATCCTGTGAATTCAAAAAGTCCTTTAATGCATTTGTGCTTCAAGGGCACTCTTCCCAATGTCCACTGTCCCTTGTGGATAATCTCAGTGCTAGTAAAGAACAGTTTATCTGCCCTTGTCATAGAATTGCTCAAATTTATAGAGTACAGTTCATGGAAAATTGTTGGTGAGGTCCATGGTCTTGAATACAAAAGGCCAATGTGCAGAGAAGTTGTTTTCTCTACCCTTTATACTTACAATATAAATATTTTATATTTATAAAATATAAATATTATACTCACAATATATCTATTCAAACAGAGCATGTTGTCAGTGAACATGAATGTATGGGATATAGCCCTTACTTAAAGGATAAAAACATATTATTAAGTAACTGGTTATATAGAATAGATGTCTTAAAGGTAAATGGCATCTTAAAGATAAACCCACATTTAATTAAAACAAGTGTTTATTTGCAAACGAGGCTATTAAATACTGTGGAAAAAATGGAGAAAAAGTAGCGAACAGGCTCTTTATGCTCAATGATTTATAACAACTTCTAAGCTAGTCCTCAGTGGAATGAACTCTACATGTAAATTGCTACTTGACTGTAATTACAAGCAACATGCCAATGTGCGTATATTAATGTACTAAGACTTACTGGAAAAGGGAAACAATTAGGGAGTGATCAGAAGGCAGTGTGATTTATCTGGAAAGACATGGTGGAGGAGATGATCTTGATAGCTGAGGACATTCCCAGAGAGTAGGAATTTTCAATCCTTGGCTACATATTAGAATCACGTGAGGAAATTTTTTAACATACCATTGTTTGTGCCCATCCTCCTGAAATTGATTCAATTGTTCTCGCGTGGATCCCATAGATCGGCGATTTTAAAATCACCCCAGGAAATTCTAACATGTGGACAGGACTAAGAACCTTTGATATAATAGTGGGTCATTGTAGGTGGGACCTTATTGTCAGGTCTGTTACGGACCTGAAACGGGAGGAAGTCTGCATTACACGACCTTTCAGGTGCCTCCCTCCTCTAGGATTCTATGACACTCATTTTCAGAATCAGAGGGAGAAGTTGACAGTGAGTGGAACTAGCAAGTGAATTAAATTGGCTGGAACAGAGACGCTTTGGTGGGAAAAAAATAAAAGATGATCCTAGAGAGACCTACTAGGTAATCACTGGGTAATACAGCTTAAACGGTAAATTGAAGATTATAGGTTTCAGGGAATGCCCTTTGAAATGATGTAGTTCAGCCTAACTCTTAATGCAGCTGTTCCTTCTCAGTATTACCAGCAGATCTATAGAATGAGCAAAACCAGATTATTCAGCCTGTTTGAACATTTTAAAGTAGGACAACTACCAGAGGGAAAATAGCCTTCATAAACTTTGGAGTTAAAAAACTTGATGCAATTAAAATATTTATAAAAGATTATTTTAATAGCAGTATGTACAGAATAATCTGAAAAGTTACCAAAACTGGAGACAGATGGTAAGGCTTAGATGGACTTAGACTCCATAAAGTTACCTTACATCTTGGTAAAAATTTTATGTAGGATCATCAATTTGTATCAGGAAGTTGATACCTGAGAGGCAGATTAGATAATAGTATATCATATCTTTATTTGTAGCTATATGTTAATTAAAGGGAGAAACATCTAACATGTTTATAGTTATGATATACAAACTGGCTTAAACAAGTTCAAACAAATCAGGTAAAAAGTTTTTTTTATGTGTATAAGCTCTTCAAATAAGCCACATGTCTAATCTAGTGATTTTTTTCTCATATTTTCTTTTTCAGACTTTTATAGTATTGAATAAAGGGAAGGCAATTTTCCGATTCAGTGCCACCTCTGCCTTGTATATTTTAACTCCGCTAAACCCTGTTAGGAAAATTGCTATTAAGATTTTGGTACATTCATATCCTTTTCATGTGAATTGTCTAAATGCTGTTTCTAGTAGTTGATTTTACAAAAAATGTCATTCTTTTTTAAAAAAATATATAAAATTTCTTTGGGATTAATGGTAACATTGTTGTTTAATCTGTTTTACTCATTGATTTTCTGCTATTTATAACAAGATTATTGTAGAATGACTATTATGATTCTAGAAGTAAAAACGCTACCATGATAGTGAATGTGTAAATGAAACACATTGTGTAGTAGGAATAACAGCAAATCTACTTCAAACTTTTTATTAACCTCAATTAGACCATATATAACCACCACTAAAGAAACATAGTCTATGGTGCTTAGTGTTATTATCTATATTACCAAATGTTCAAACTTTTGTGCCTTAATTCGTTCTGTATTTTAATCACCTGGGCCTGTCCTCTCTCCCTCCCTCCCTCCCTCCCTCTTTCCTTCCTTCCTTTCTTCCCTCTTTCCTTCCTTTCTTTAGTAAATATTTTGTAAACTACTATGTGCCTATGTATCTGATTGATAATATATATTTAAAACTAACTGAACTTAAAACTACTTACAGTGATAGTCAAAATGTATATGTAAAATGACATAATAGGGGTGGATTTCAAGAAAATTCTCAAGACATGATAATAAAATAGAAAGGTGATCTTCAGACGCAGTGTTCAAGAATCGGCATTTATACAGATTCAAAACAGGCTAACATAAAAACTAAAAGAGAGACAACAGAGACAGGGTTAACCTAGAGACAGGGGAAATAGGACTGATAACCTTTTGAAGTGCATTTGAATTCTCCCATTCTATGGTTTGATACTGTAAAGTATTTACATTTTAAAATAAAAGATTTACCTCAAAATATATAATCATAAACTTCCTTAGAGTGAAGTCTGGATTGAGATCCTAAGGGAAATTACCACATCTAATTCTTAGGAAGGTTTAAAAGCAGTGTTTGTTTAGGTATGGTGTGGACTAGATACAGGAAGATAGCTAGGTGGTCAAAGTTCCCACACTCTCAAGTGAAAATAGAAAGTTAGAAAATAATACTAGCTCTTTAGCAAAAAATTGTCTCTCTCTTTATTCTTATGTTGTAAACGCTAAAGGAACAAGTTACATCACTATAAGACTGCTAGAGTTTCTAATTACAGTGGAATTCTCAATCAGTGTAATCCTCAAATATATGGAGCTGTACATTCTCAAGTGTATTACATTGCACTCATTAACCTTTTTTCTGTCAGTAGAAATTGTAAACGGTATCTGAAGTATAACTTTTAGACTTATACTATAAACTTACTAAAGAATGGTCATTTCCCCTGCAGTGCAGTTTCACACAACTCACTGAAATGCAAAATTCCCATTTGCTTCAAATAGAGATCTCTTTCTATTGAATTCAGTTTTGTGAGAAAATGATGTAAAATAAAAAAGCATGGACCAAGAGTATATGACAGACTTTGAAGTTTCTTACTGTTTTTGCCATTGTTTTAAAAGAAATAAGTAAGGTTAATTTTACAGGTAACTTGTGTTGATTTTTTTTTTTTGTACTGGATCATTTTTAAGCGGCCATGACATTGTACTAGCATTTATTCCTTAACTATAATCTACTTTATTCAGCATGCTTATCATGTGCACTATTTTGACCAACTGTGTATTTATGACCCTGAGTAATCCTCCAGACTGGACAAAGAATGTAGAGTAAGTAGAAATAATTTCTTGGAATGAGAAATACACACTCAAATTCTCTAGCAATCTCCTTATAGTTATGGTCTGACTCATGGTTTCCACTTTTTTGAAGTCAGGCTAAACACTTTTAAGAAAAAGTTATTTCCATAATATGAAAAAAATAGGGGAAGTTCTTAGGGGACTTTTCCTCCTATGAGGTAGGTATTTCTTCTGACAAAGGATAGTATTTGTTTAAGAAAGGTTATTAATTGTATATACTAGGTGGTAAACTAAACAATCATTTAGCATAAAAGTTAAGACTGAATCACAGTTATGCACTTTAGATAAAATATAATTACCATTTGAATAATTTTATAAATAAAATTATTTCATCCTAGTATATTACCATTATTGTTATATTCTGATAAAACAGATTTAGGTGTTTAGCGCTATATTACTATATTAGGCTTTTCAGTTATATGTTATATCATTGCATTTAGGAAAAATACATTTAGGTATTTAAGTTACTTCGATGTTTAGTTATATTTCGACACATAGTTTATTTAGACAGAGGATGTGTGCCAAAACACCACAGATGTGTTCTGTAAAAAGGAAATATAGAACTACCATATGACCCAGCAATCCCACTACTGGGTATATACCCTGAGAAAACCATAATTCAAAAAGAGTCATGTACCACAATATTCATTGTAGCTCTATTTACAATAGCCAGGACACAGAAGCAACCTAAGTGTCCATCGACAGATGAATGGATAAAGATGATGTGGCACATATATACAATGGAATATTACTCAGCCATAAAAAGAAACAAACGAGTTATTTGTAGTGAGATGGATGGACCTAGAGTCTGTCATACTGAGTGAAGTAACTCAGAAAGAGAAAAACAAATACTGTATGCTAACACATATACATGGAATCTAAAAAAAAAAAAAAAATGGTTCTGAAGAACCTAGGGGCAGGACAGGAATAAAGACGCAGACATAGAGAATGGACTTGAGGACACAGGGAGGGGGAAGGGTAAGCTGGGATGAAGTGAGAGAGTGGCATGGACATATATACACTACCAAATGTAAAATAGATAGCTAGTGGGAAGCAGCCGCATAGCACAGGGAGATCAGCTCGGTGCTTTGTGACCACCTAAAGGGGTGGGATAGGGAGGGTAGGAGGGAGATGCAAGAGGGAGGAGATATGGGGATATATGTATATAGCTGATTCACTTTGTTATAAAGCAGAAACTAACACACCATTGTAAAGCAATTATCCTCCAATAAAGACATTAAAAAAAATAAAAGGAAATAAAATGTCTTTGCAAAACCATGTTCAAAAAATAACAGGGCTTAAGGGGAAAACATGATTATGGACAGATCACTCAACACTTATAAAACTTTGCAATTAGAACACTAATAAAAACAGTGACAATCCTAATAAAAAGATTTGGCCCAGTTAAATCTCTATGGACATTTGTATCTAAAATCTCAGCCAGCAACCTCCCTGCAGTCTCAGACTATGGGTCTTGTCCTTTCTCCCTTGAAATGGAGACCCTGGGAACATTTGAATGATATCATCAAAATAAAACATTTGACTCAGTATTTTAAAACAGAGGGAAATATCTAAGCACAGTAGTTTGGGGCATGTTAAACTAGACCCTGCTTGCGCTAAAGAAGGAAGTTCTATTAATTTTTCATTAGTATTAAGGTCTTTTATTGCTAAGGATGTTCTACGTAAATGTGAAGGAAAAGGTGTCCCTGATTATTTCAAAGCATCAGTACGCTGGGGAAAACTGTGCTTTAACTAATACAATCTCTGCATTATAACAACATTATTCCCCAATTTGTCCATCACATGTGAGATTATTCGTGACAAAGAAACATGCTATTTAGTGAAACAGAAGATGTTTAGGTTATACAGGCTATTTATGTATGGTATAATGCAATGATCAGGTATTTGTTTCAATGCAAAAGAAAATTTTATTACATTCTTCTTCTTGTTATATTTTTTAAAGTAATGTCCAACAGGAGATAAGTTATTATGACAAATACTGCCACTTTTATTTCTGTTTTTTATAGATTTCTATGAGGATTTACAGCATCCTTCTAAGCTATCATTTGTCAGTGGTTAAACACATTAGTTAACGTCTTTTTTGATAGTAGATTGAAAATGCTCCTTAGAAATCATTTTAGTAGAAAATCCAGCTCTTATGTTGAGGCAAGCCACTTAACAGAATTCTTATGATTTGGGGATTAACAAATGGACATACCTATGTAAAACTACTCTGTATGTTCTTTTTCCTGCAGAAATTATTGACATATTTTAACATGTACGAATTCATTTGTATAACATTATTAAAAGACAGGTACGTGAGAGAGTGGCATGGACATATATACACTACCAAAATAGATAGCTAGTGGGAAGCAGCCACATAGCACAGGGAGATCAGCTCAGTGCTTTGTGACCACCTAGAGGGGTGGGATAGGGAGGGTGGGAGGGAGACGCAAGAGGGAGGAGATATGGGGGTATTTGTATATGTATAGCTGATTCACTTTGTTATAAGCAGAAACTAACCACTGTAAAGCAATTATACTCCAATAAAGATATTTAAAAAGAAGAGAGACGGGTAAAGGGGACACTTAAATATTATTATTTGAATATGCAGTTTTCTCTTTTTAAAGTCATTTTTAGAGATGACTATATCCATTATGAAAAGTCTTAGCTTTACAAAAGCTTTTGACTTACACGGTTTAGTTGGGAAACTTTGCACAGGTTTCTGATCAATTATCTCTAGTCAGTTGACAGCAAGGCAGCAGGAAAACAAGCAAAATATTAGTGTTTACAGCCAAAAAACAAAACAAAACAAACAAACAAACAAACAAAAAACCACACAAAAAAACAGAGTCCAATGCAAAGAGAAGTCAGTTCTGACATGAAAATAGAAGTCACTGATAGCAGAAACCGTCCCTGTACAGAGGTGGCATACTCAGAAGGCCTGAGGACCATATTGTATAGTGAAGGTTGTTATTATGTCAGGCAAGGCACTTCTATGGACATGAGAATTACAGGGGAAAATAAAACACCTTGTAAAATGGACAGAATCAACAATATGATTAAGAGCCTAGTAGGGGTACAGCCAAGAAAAATCAAGATCCCCTTGATTCTCACTGACCTGTTCAATCTAGTTTGCTAATAGGTACATCTGAACACCCATTCTGTGCAAAGCTGTCACAAATGTTAAGTTCTAAGACCTCTCTTCCTTGGATAGCTATCACACTCACCATACACTCCAAATGTCCCCACAAATTTTCTTCCTTTTCCAAAACAGGAATAGGAGCAGGGACTTTAATCTTGTTTCTAGTCTATAGATAACTTAGAATGCTTAAGCATAAACCACAGGGCACTAACCATTAATAGGATAAACAGAACATACATGGGAGCTGTCTCTTATGCCTTTTGCAATGCCAGGTAACTCTCCAAACAGAAATGTCATGGTGATTATATGTAATACACGAAGATCCAAACCAAAACACAAGTAACCATAAGCTTGGCATTGTAAATTATGTCTTCCTAATAAAGTCAGCTACTTCATAATAAGTAAAGATAGCAGTTATACTTACTCCTCATGAAATTAATTGAATTGTTTAAAAAAGGAAGACTTAGGAAAACTAGACGTAAAGATTTCTGCATACATTTTCCTTTGATTTCTTGGTTCCCTCATAAGAGAGAAATTTCTACAGAAAAAAAAATGCGAAAATAACTCTCCTAACTTTTTTCACATATAAAATACTAGTAGGCTAGAAAAGATAATGAATTTTAATGAAAGTAAATTAAATCTTTGTGGCTTGAGAGGAGTAATCTGAAGAACAAACTTAGATTGCACTTTTAAAAAGAATCCACTGTTGAAAAACAAGTACTCTCTCCCAACTATTTTTGGAAGAAACAGAAATAACTTGTATTGTCAACACTCAAAGGAGAGAGGGCTAGAAATTCACTACCAAACAACAAATGGAAAAGTCTTTCACCATTTTGGAGGCTGAAACTTGAATTTGAGCATGTTTAAATGATTTGGCCCAATTGCGTAGTAACTGATGAGAGGTTAGATTCAGGAATTTTGGTATCCCTGAATTTTGGTAATTGTGTAAACACACACACAGAAAATACTAATGCACAGAAAGTTTTTTAATGAATATATATATATACATATATATAACTGAATCACTTTGCTGTACACTAGAAAATAATACAACATTGTAAATCAACAATACTTTAATAAAAAAAAAAGAAAGTGACATCAGAATATATCAATTTTCA